GGTGGGCCAGGAGATGTGAGGCTCATGACGGCAGAACCAGGAATGACCCAGGATGAGTGGTGTAGCCGGAGCCTGGATGACCAGGAAGTGGAGGGTTTCCAGGTGGAGACCCTGGGTTCGGTGGGTGAGAGGGTACAGCATGATGGGCCGGCCGTCCACAGAGGTCACGGGAAAGGGTTGGTCGAGGGCGGTGAGGGGTATCTTGAGCTGAGTAACCAGTCCATGATCGATAAAGCACTCCGCAGCCCCAGTGTCTAAAAGAGCCTCCAGTCTGGTCGGGCCTTGGTCCAGGTGGAAGGAGACCGGGAGAGTGGTTCGGTGTGGAGCCGGAAAAGTGGAGACTCCGGGCGGGACAGCCCCTACTCCGACCCAGAGGGACTGTTTCCCGGTCGTTTTGGGCATATGCCACGATGGTGACCCAAATCCCCACAGTAAGCGCATCTTCCCTCCTGATAGCGCCGTGCCCGTTCCTCAGGGGGGAGATGTCCGAGCTGCATCGGCTCCTCCGTCGGTTGGTGAGCCGGATGGCGGGGTGACGTCCTGGTGTGTATGGGAGCTGACATGCTGCTCGGCCGGTTCAGGATACAGCGGTCCAGTTGGAGAGCCAGATCCACTGCCAGGTCCAGGGAGGTTGGGGCCTCGTGCCCGATCATGCCCTCCCGGATTCTAGGTGGCAATTCCTCCAGGTAAACGGCTTTTAGGGCGGCGTCATCCCACCTCAATCGAGCGGCTGTTGTCCGGAAGCGAGAGGTGTACTGAGCCGCCGTCTGGGAGCCCTGGCGAAGCTGAAGCAGCCGAGTCTCGTCCGAGACTTCACTGCTGGGGTGCACAAATGTCTTTTTCATCTCCTTTACAAAAGTCATTGCAGGCAGGAAATTTCTGATTGTAAAGAGCAGCAGCCCATTCACCTGCTCGACCTGTCAGCAGTGAGGTCAGCAGGGCGACACGAGAGCAGGATGTGGGGTAGCGAGCCGGCTGGCACTCAAAAGTTATGGCCAGGGTCGCCAGCATGCCCTCCGGGGATCCCCTGGTTCCGTCCCACTTCTCTGGACGGCTGAGGCGTGGTTCCATCCTGTCGGTGATGGCTGTGGTCTGTCATTGCAGAGCGGTGGACAGCTGGAGAACTAGCTCGGTGAGTGACTCAATCTTTGTGGCTTGGCGATCAGCTATGGAATGAAACTGGTTCATCTCGGCACGGAGCTGGCTTATCTCTGCCGTCTGCTGATCCAAGGTTGCGCGCTGTTGAGCCACTTCAACACGCAGACGCGCGAACTCCGCTGGGTCAACTTGTGACTCAGTCATCCTGTCAGGTTCGGTGGCAGAGCTGAAGTGTGGCTGAGAGGATCTGTTGCCCAGATGGAAATAACCAGCGTGGTTATCTCCTGTAGGTCAGGATTGAAGGTTTGAGGGCTGGTAAGCCTGGAAACTCGATACAAAGTCTGGTGAGAACGATGACTGAGTAATGAATGAAACGCCGGCACTTCCTTAAGTAGTGTCGGCGTGATGACGTCAGCCGCCACGTTGGTGGCAGGAATGATGGGAAGTGGTGGCGAGAATGCTGGGAAATGAAGTCAGCGGGAGGAGTTCGTAACAGCTTTCCCCTCCTAAGGTGTCGAGTTGTTGACAACAATCTCCTCGAAGCCATGTGGAACTCTCTCTCAATGGTCTCACCAAACTCCTCCCATGCCTGGGTTTTTGCCTCTGTAGCTGCATTCCACTTGGACTGCCGGTACCTATCAGCTTCTGGAGTGCCACTAATATGCCCACCCCTGCTCGACATCTCAAATCAAATTCAAATCAAATTCAAATTTTATTTGTCACATACACATTCATACACAGTACGAAATGCAGTGAAATTCCTTACACAACTGCTCGTGACCTAAGAGTTGAAAATAAAAAAACTGTACACCACGGATTTAAATGAAGGGTAAATTAACTGGGAAAGAGTAAGGTAAAATATATCTGAATTAAAATTGAATAATAGAATAGCTTTACAACAAAATACACAACACAATACAAATTAGAATAAAAGGTAAATTTAGCTGGGAAGGAATAAGATAAAATATATATAAGTTGAAGCTGAGAATAAAGTAACTGTACAACAAAATACATAGTATGTAAATGTATAAGAATGTGTGAAGAAATAAAAATATCTGTACAAAACAGCGGCTGAACAAGTATTAAATGGAAATGAAAAATATATATATATTCAATGTCCGGAGTTGTGCAAACCACATTTTAGTGACTTTGTAGTGCAACTGTGCTTAAGCAAAGTCCAGACTGTTCAGTGTGTGTGAGAACCATATGTGTGTGCACTTACTATGTGGTGGTGTGGTTTAAATATTGTATCGCCTGCGGGAAGAAACTCCTCCTCAGCCTCTCTGTGTTGGTCTTCAGGGAGCGAAATCGCTTCCCTGACCTCAACAGAGCAAACAGTCTGTTATTTGGATGGCTGAGGTCCTTCACGATCTTCCTGGCCTTGGTCCAGCACCGCCTGCTGTAGATCGAGTGCAGGTCAGGGAGCTCGGAGCGGATGGTGCGCTCAGCTGATCGAATAACCCTCTGTAGAGCTCGTCTGTCCTGCATGGTGCTGTTCCCGAACCAGGTTATGATGTTCCCCGTCAGGATGCTCTCTATGGTGCACGAGTAGAAGTTCCTGAGCACCCTGGGGGGCAGTCGGAAGTCTCTCAAGCGTCTGAGGTAGTAGAGACGCTGCCCGGCTTTTTCACCACGCTGTTGATGTGACAGGACCATGACAGGTCCTGCGTGATGTGAACACCGAGGTATTTGAAGCTGCTCACTCTCTCCACTGGGCACTCGTTGATGACGGGGATCTGGTAGTTCCTCTCCTGCTTTGTGCTGAAGTCCACTATCAACTCCTTCGTTTTGCTGACGTTTATAAGGAGGTTGTTCCTCTTGCACCAGGTCTCCAGATTCCTGACCTCCTTTAAGTAGGCCGCCTCGTTGTTGTCAGAGATCAGGCCCACCACGACGGTATCGTCAGCAAACAATGATGGTGGTGGAGCTGGTACTGGCCACACAGTCGTATGTGTACAAAGAGTACAGCAGGGGGCTTAGAACACACCCCTGGGGGGCTCCAGTGCTGAGAGTGGTGGGGGCTGAGACATGTTCGCCCGTCCTTACTGCCTGTGGTCTGCCAGTTAAGAAGTTGGAGATCCACTGGCACATAGATGAGCTCAGTCCCAGGTGCTCCAGTTTGGTGGTGAGTGTGGAGGGAATTATGGTATTAAATGCAGTGTTGTAGTCAATGAAGAGCATTTTAACATAATTCCCCCTTCTAGTGTCCAAGTTAGTGAGTGATGTGTGGAGGAGATGACAGATGGCATCGTCTGTAGAACGATTTGGACGGTAAGCGAACTGTAGTGGGTCCAGTGTGTCTGGTAGTGAAGAAATGATGAAGTCTCTGACCAGGCGTTCGAAGCACTTCATCACTACTGAGGTGAGGGCTACGGGGCGATAGTCATTGAGAGAAGCAGGGTGGGGTTTCTTCGGGACAGGAACAATGATGGACTCTTTGAAGCATGTGGGGATCACCGACTGAGATAAAGAGATGTTGAATATCTCAGTGAACACAGGAGCTAGCTGGTATGCGCAGTCTCTGAGGATACGACCTGGGATGCCGTCTGGTCCTGCTGCTTTCCTGGTGTTCACTCTCTTGAAGGCTCTCCTCACGTCATGCTCGGAGATGACGAGCATGTTTTCCGGTGCTGGCAGTATCTTCCTGTCTGCAGCCGTTAGCGCCGCTAGCGCTAGCGTCGTTGGAGTCCTTAGCTGCAGCCTCAAAGCGAGCATAGAAAGTGTTCAGCTCGTCTGCCAGAGTCGCGTCCGCGTTCGTCATACTGGTTGTTGGTGCTTTATAATCCGTTATTGTCCTCAGTCCCCGCCACAGGCTCCTAGAGTCACTCTGTTGGAGTTGTGACTCTAGTTTCCTCCCGTAGCGCTGCTTCGCCTCTTTTACCGCCTTCCGCACGTGATATGATGCTGCTTTGTACGGGTTCATGTCCCCCGTCGCGAGTCCCGTGTTATAGGCAGCGGTGCGGGATCTCAGAGCTTCGCGGATGGTTTTATCCACCCACGGCTTCTGGTTGGGAAACGTAGTGATAGTCCTTGTCTCCACGGTATCATCCGCTAGTTTCCCGATGAATCCCACAACCGCTTCTGTAAACACATTGACGTCATCAGAGCTGTTTCTGAACATCTCTCAGTGGGAGAGTGGTATAGTGTCCAACCCCTCTCAAGGAAACTGGTTCCGGAGCCTGATCCATGTGTTGAGGTGACTCCGACTATATCTAGTCGGAACCTCTCAACTTCGTAAACCAACTCAGGCTTCTTCCCCACCAGAAAGTTGACATTCCAGGTGCCAAGAGTCGAGGATCAACCCGCCAAGCTCCCCACCTTCAGCTACCACTCGTCACACACTCCACCTGACCCCTTTGACCCTTCTCACAATTGGTGAGCCCACGGGAAGAGGGACCCATGTTTCCTCTTGGGGTTGTGCCCGGCTGGGCTCCATGTGTGAAAGCTCGGCCGCCAGGCACTCGCCAACGTGCCCCGGCTTCAGGCCTGGCTCCAGAGTGGGGGACCCGGTGACCCATGTCCGGGCAAGGAAACACTGTTTCCATGTATATTTTTTCTAATGAGGGGTCTTTGGGCTGCTCTTTATCTGATCCCTCACCTAGGACCTGTTTGCAATGGGTGACCCTACCAGAGGCATAAAGCCTCTGACAGCTTAGCTCCTAGGATCATTGGGACACTCAAACCCCTCCACCACATTACAAGGTGGCAGCCCAGGGAGGGGGCTGCTACCTTAGTTATAGGGACAACATTTCTTCATGTGAAGATCACTCTGCTTAACTTGTAATGCTTAGTTTCCCCTTTACTGTCAACATATTATTTTTCAGACGTCCTTTTGTGTCTACAGCCATTGAATTTAAACACACATAACATATTGTTTGTCTTCTTGCTACTTTGGTGTCTAGACTTTGCTTCAGATCTATCAGAGGCCCTTGAGGATGAGATGAAGACTTTCAATGAAGATATCGTCTGCAGTCATGGTATTTTTCATTTTTCTGTATAAAATAACATAATGTTGACACTGACATTTTAAATTGTTTTATAATGTCATCTTGGTAGTATAAGGATCTGTTTTGAAGTCTGTGCTCTTGCTGTAGGAGGCCTGAGTATTCTGGAGACAGAACGGAAGCTAGTCTCTACTGAAGTGTGGACCAAGCTGAGAAAATATTTCCCTAAATCGCCAAAGTTCTCGCAGAACCAGGAGCTCTGTCAGCAGTGTCTGGTAAAATCAGCTTGAACATTTCTGAGTAAGCCTTAGAGGTGCTTGCAAAGAGGTGGATAAGATCCAACACAATTACCTCTGCAGTGTTGAGACTAATTTGGGCATCTGAGACATGCAACTCCATTGTCTGTCCTTGCGAGGGCTCTCCAGCAGGCTCGCAAGGACGGACGGAGTCAAGCCCACTTTTCTAAACATCCGTTCAATGAGATGGAGAACACAAGCTTGTGATTGGTCAGGATGCCACTGTTGTCAACAGCCCTGCCATTTTGCCCTCTACAACATAAAGAGACCCTAAGATATCTAGCAGCTGACACTGGTGGAGTAACAGATATGCAGCAGGCATTTTATTCGTGGATGGAAATGACTGGAAACATGGGTGTAGAGGAGCTATGTCTGTAGTGGCAGAAAAGAAGGCGTGAGGTAGAACATGTATGAGAGATGTGAGACAGCAGTGAGCTGTGAGACAGCAGTGAGGTCCAGAGGAGAGACGATGCCGACATAGGCAGAACTTTGTAGGGCTGCAACTAACGATTATTTTCATAATCGATTAATCTGTCGATTATTTTTTTCGATTAATCGATTAATCGGTTTGTTATTGTTTAGCTATTTAACCTATACAAGTGATGAATACATTTCAGTTAAGAAAAAGAAAAACATAAGAGAATTGTGCAGTTGACTGCAATCTATTTTATTGCACATGAACACAGTCAGCGGTGTAAAATGAGCTAAACAGTGCAAAATATCAGTCCAGAATAATTTTTTGGCATCAAAATATAAGAGGTAAATTCCATAAAAAATAATGTAGAATCTAGAAAAGAGTTTGTAAGTGGTATGCATTGCTGGGGGGTGAGTGTCTTGTTCCCCATGTAGTTGTCCATCGTTGCTTGTTTTTTTCTGCATAAGAAACACAAATAGACTGAAATAAGTACACATATAAAATAAAGCAGCACACACACTACAACACTAAATCAATATTACATTATTTGAATTAATTAACAATATACAGTGATCATTTATTTTGACAAAAATGTGTTGTGAGGATTTTTACAGTGTTAGACAGTAAAACAGCCTTTTAATAGTAAAAAAAAAGTGACTTTCTGAATTTCTCCTGTATTTAAAAATTGAAAGCGTACAACTATGCCGCGTTATATTCACCTGGACACAGCTCGTCTGTATATTTTTCACCGCGGAGTTGTCCTTTTTTGAATGAGGAACATAGTTATGGGTTTGTGCCGTTTTTCTCTTAACGAGAACATTCATATAAACAGACATGCTAAATTTGGCAAGCGCATGATACACAACACGGAGGAGATTCACGATTGCATCTAGTCAATCAGAAGTAGAACACCGTAGACTGACACGGCAAAAAAACATGTTTAACATCCACTATAACGAACTCAGCTCCCAAATTTGATCTACGTTAGCTTGTTTATTTTCTGTTACTTACCGGATTTACTGGACTTTCCTCTGCTGCATCAGCCCCCACATGTTTTCGTCTCAAATGTTCACTTAGGGACGTTGTGCTTCCGTGCCATGCTAGATGGTTTTTGCATATTTTGCAGGTCACCCGTCTTTTCATGGCATCTAGAGTGAAGTGCTCCCATACTCGTGAGGTTTTTGTCCGGGGTTTCTCTTCAGTTTTGTCGCTTCTATTTTTCTTCCGTATTTCTTCTTGTTCTGCCATCTCTCACAGCAAGATGTGCGTCAGTAACTTGTTACGTCGTGAAAACCGAAGGCACTTATTGGCTCGTTTCTTCTTCTACGGCTCCACTGGTAGATCAGTGGCTCATTACTGCCACACACTGGCAGCAAATTTAACAGATTGTAACCAATGTCAGATTGTGGTAAAGAAATAGACTTTATGCGGTAAAATATGATTATTAAACAACTAATCGATGACTAAAAAAAGTTGTTAACTATTTTAATAATCGATTATAATCGATTAAATCGATTAGTTGTTTCAGCTCTAGGTAGAAGGATGCTGAGGTTGGAGCTACCAGGCAGGAGACTGAGGAGAGGACCAACAAGGAGATTTATGGATGTGGTAAAAGAGGACATGAAGGTAGTTGGTGTGAGGGTTGAGGAGGAAGAAGACAGGACTAAATGGAGGCTGTGGAGACCTCTGAAGGGACACGTTTAGAGAGAAACAGGAGACATGAACATACATCACCTAACAGAGTGATGATCTTAGGGGACAAAAACAAAAAGGGGAGGTGGCACTGCATTTCATTTGGCTGTACGCTGCTCAGGTGCGCTCTAACATGTGGACTGTCTGGATTTGTTCAGCCTCCCTGGCCTTATTTAGATCAAAAGCATGAGAAAGTCAGATTTACTTTGAAGCTTCTTATTCAGAATTGGGTCAAAATGTGATATCAGAATTTCAGATTCACATAAAACGTGTGTGGGTTTAGAGTTCATGTGTTCAATGTTTCCTGCTTGTGCCCAGACATTAGAGCAGGAGGAAAAGGACAATGAGGCGGTCAGTAAGATGATGGCTCTCGATCAGAAGAGCCAGCTTCCCAACCTCTTCCATGAAAAGAACCGACCAACACTCACAAAGTGGCCTCAGGTAAACACTAGCTAAGTGGTACCCTTCAGAGCATTTTACGCACAAACATAGTTTATGTTGTTTACCCTTGTTTCTCCAGGGCACAGATGTCCTTTACATTGTCCCTCTGTTCTTTGTTGATGAGTGGAAAAAATTCATCAGGTGTGTAAAACAAATCAAATGTTGTCAAACATCACCTGTCTTTGAATGATGTTAGCCTGTGGGTAAAATCTCTGCTGAGCCACATCCAGATGTCTTCATGCCTCTGCTGATTTTAGGAGACCCACTAAATCCTCTCCAGTGTCCAACGTGGGCAACACTCTGCTGCTCTGTCCTCACGGGGGCTTCATGTTCACCTACGAGTCTCTGATCAATGGAGAGGCACAACAGTGGGTACTAGTTCATTCATGCATTACATCTGTAAGCAACACCAGGCTGCTCAGTGGTTTCCTGTTATAACACATTATTATTATTATTGGATGTAATCCCAGAGCAGATGGATTTTCTACTGTGGATCACTGGTCACAAACTGAGTTAACATTCAGGGATGAACACTGTTCAACTAAGAGCAAATCTTGTTTAATGCAACTAATAGTTTCATAAAAGCAGTGTTGTAGTTTGGGGTGTTACTAAAGCAGCAATAACAAATCTGCAAAACAAGCTAGTTTTTAAACACAAACATTGTCACAGAACTCTCAAACCTCCCGTCAGGAATCATCCCTGGGCCCTACCCTCTTATACCAGAACTCACATTATCAGAGTAAACGAGATAGCGCTAAACACCAGTCTCTGTTTTCTAGGTCCAAACGTTTTTTGTTGTCCTTGACTGCAAATGGTGTTTTTCTTTTTGGGACTCTGGTAGTCTGTCCTAAAGTTGAAGTGGTAACAGTTATGATATTATTGACTGGAGAACCTCTCACACCAGTGTTGAATACGTGAGTGTGATGAGTGGAGGACCCAGGGAAGTGTGGCGCTTTGGTGAAACTGACAACTGGATGGTCCAATGGTTGGTTTGGGTCTGAATCGTGTTATGTTCGACAACAGTATAGCAATACTATACTATACAGCAGGGGTCTCCAACTTTATTTGGCCCATGGGCTACTTTTACACAATGAAAATACATGAAGCCACATGATTTATTGACATTGATCATTTCTAGGGCTGAACGATTAATTGCATATGCAATTAAATTGCGATGTGACAAAAGGAGATTTTCTAATCGCAAAGGCGATTGTTTTCCCAAATTACGAATTAGGAACATGCTAAATTATTACATTTGGAGTCTGATAAAAAGTAAAAACTGCCATTAATTAAATAAGTACAGACAGATATTTTAGTAAAGCTAGAAAACTGTACTTCAACTCCACTGAGTTTTGGCTAGCAGCTGTGAATGTAACTGAACGTCTGCATGGACAAGACGTCAAAAACTAAACACAAAAGACTTCAATAAATGGAACACTTCTTTCCTGCTAATACATTTTCACAGTTGATGCTAATACCTGTTCTCCTTCAAGGGATGTGCTCCTGGCTGCAAAGCATTGCACCTTCAAATACAAGATGTTGTCTTTACTTGTGAGTGTTCATGTATGTGTAGACAAATAAACTTGTTGATATATGAAGATACGTAAACTTGTTTATATTCAGTACAAGTTACATAGATCTTTTTTTGCTTCCGTTAGTTGAAAAATGAGAAAAGGCCCTTGAGAAAATAATTGTGAATTAAATCGTGATTGCGATATTAAAGAAAAAAATCGGAAATAGATTATTTTCCAAAATCGTTCAGCCCTAATAATTTCCATGTTTGAATATGCTTACTATGTTAGAAATGCTTTGCTTACTTTACTAAATTGCATTGTATTCACTAGTTTATTTCACTTTAAATGGCATTTAATACAGTCTTTTGAGTTGTGTTATGATTGTTTTCCCAAACATGTAACACAAAAAGTCTCATAAAATGAATAGAGCTGAAGATCATTTAAAAGTAAAGTAGAAGCTAAATGTGATGAAAGCACTATATACTGAACTGAAGTAAAAACTGTAAAACAGGAATAACATATCTTCCTGCTTTCCTGATTTATTCAATCATTTTATGTTTGTTTTTACTCATGAAAGTTAAGGTTTGCCTCCAGGGACGGACTGGGACTAAAAAACAGCCCTGGACTTTGACTAAGCCCGGCCCAAAGTAATTGGCGCGCGGAAATTCGGCAGCAATAATATGTGGTCAAACCATCAAAATTATAGCAACAGCGCTAATGCTGTCTATATGTTGTATTAAAAGCTGTATTACTGATAAGCTTAATAATTTATGCAGTAATTAATCTTCTTACTGCACAAATAATACCACATCTAAATGAAAATGCAACATTACAAATGTAACTTCTGTATTTAAGATTTTCAAAGTTTGTGAGAATTAACTGTAATACTACTACCAACCTTTTTACGTAAAACCGCAACATATTTCTTATTACCCACTGCATGTGGCCTTTTACAGCTAAAATGTTGAAATTTAGCTGTTATCATAAAATAAAATTGCAACCTAACGCCGGGGACACACTGGCCGCGGAAGCGCCGCGAAAATGGGACCGCCTTCATTCGGCGCCCTTGTTAAGCTATTCTATAGACCACATGGGCCGCCTTGTGCCGCGAAGCGCCTTGTGCCGGCGCGCGCCGGCGCTCCAGCCCGCGCCGTGCAGCGATCATTTCGGCATCTGCTCTATTTTTTTCGCGAGCCGCGGGTGAATCGCGTCAATTCTGGCAGGAAGTCAAACCTAGACATAAGAGGCAGGCCGGTAAAGTTAACAAAATAAAGCATTTCAAAATAAAATTCCGCAATAGTCAAATGTGTTCGTAATCAGACACTGCAGAAAACCACACGAATACACACACACACACACATCGAACTTGTGTGCGTGTGTGACCACGTGAAGGGGGGAGTGGTTTGGGGTGTCTTTTCACTGGAGCAAACCGGACAGAGAGGCAGAAAGTCTGAGGCAAGCAGTTAAGATGGATGACTTTAAATTAATTATGGAAGTTGAGAAACACAAGGTGCTGTACGACCCCCGAAAAACATGGTTATTTACGTACCCATTTCGGAAGAAACTGTTAGGATACAGCTGCAGAATTGGAGCGGGTTCCGAGAGATTCAACTGGCAGAAACAACTCATAACATAGGTTCACACACACACACACACACACACACACACTCAAACGTAGAGGAAAAGAGCTGAGAAAAGGCAGAGAGGAAATGGAGGACACAAAGTGTTTAAAAGAAAAACTACAGCTGAGCTGAGGCGCGCCTCGACTGGGGCGCTTCTGATCTGAACTGAGGAGCGGCGAGCAGCGGCCGAATTTCGTGAGCGATTCGCTTCTCGGCGCTTCCGCGGCCGGTGTGTCCCCGGCGTAAACATGAATTCCTAACATCAGTCCTTGCAAATGTTTCTCCTCTTACATTCCATACTTACTTCCCCTGGATTTGCCTGTGGAACCAGCACATCTTTCTGTCCCTCATTACTGCTGGCACGTTGCTGTGTAGCTATCTGCCTGACTTCTTCACTGCTGTGAACCTGCTGCGAGGTGCTGTTGCTGGCTGTACTGCTAAATATGTCAGTTAATTTGTGACATTTAGAGGCTTCAGCATCTAATGCCCGCAATTTTTTTTCTCTTGCCTTCTCAGCCCCACCCTTTTCTTTCCTTTTTTTTCTTTTTTTACTAGCGGCCGGGTTTTGCATCATTTTTTTTCTACTTCCTTTGCCTCCTATCTGCTTCAGCTTCTTCTCCTTGCCTGGTGGCCACTGCCAATGTAGCTGGCATCCAACTTAGGAGGTGCAGTGCTGCCACCTAGAGTGCTGGAGCGTGAAAGAGCTTTGAGGGGGGAAAAAACAGGTGTTGAAAGCATGCGTGGAGAGTGGTGGGAGAGAGATTTTAAAATCGTGTTGCATCATTAAGATGAGATAATCAGCTGAAACGGTTAAGGGAAATATCTTTAAACTACACTATCATCTTCATAAGCTGTTATCGCAGATAAAACATGTTTGCTGAAAGATTTGGGCCATAATCAGATTCCTATTTTACTTCCACAAAAGGCTAATTTTAGATTAGATTTTACAGAAAACAGATGGCTTGCCATTAAATTTACAAGTCCGGCAGGACGGCTTGCTGGCTGCTTCCAGGTGAGTGACTTTCGTGTTGGAGACCCCTGCTATACAGTCTAGCTATACTATGTTAGCACATTGTTTTGATGCATGAATAAAACGGTTTAAGTTAGCTCTTTATGCAGCTTGCTTTTGTAGCCTTACCACTTTAACTATTTGTTTTTCAGTCATATTGAAGTTTTTCCCTTTGGGAGCTGCAGGTGACACTCACAGCTTTTCTAACCCAAACCCTAACCAGAGGGTTAGATTGGGAATCCATAACCCTCAGAAAAGATTTGAAAACATGAGTGGGTTCTTCCATGTCTTTAGTGAAACTAGCAAGTGTTTGTTATGCTGCTGGGATGCCAGCTTGAACATCAGGTATAGCTCATGCAGATTATACATTCAGACATCATGGAACTAGCAATACAGCTAAAGGTTTAGGTCATCCCACTACATCCCTACACAAAGTTTCTTCACTTTTTTCTGTGACATGTTTGCATATGTAAGAGAAAAGCTGCTTTATGCTTTGTCCTGTATAGTGTAACGTTGCTTTGGCCTGACGAGTGGGAGGTAATCAGCAGGCTCTTCATTGTTGACCACTCAATATCCATCCACTGCTTGAAACAAAGCACATCTAACGATGGCTCCGCCCAGTTCACCACCCAGCCTGGTAAGATCTCTGAGCTCCAGCAAATTTCTACCCTTATACCTTCACATGTAGTGTCTGCAACCAGTATAGACACCAGTTTCCTATCTGGGACCAGTATAGACACCAGTTCCTTGTCTAGGACTGGTATAGACACCACTTTCCTGTCTGGGTCCAGTATAGACACAAGTTCCCTGTCTGGGACCGGTATAGACACCGGTTCCCTGTCTGGGACCAGTATAGACACTGGTTCCCTGTCTGGGACCAGTATAGGCACCGGTTCCCTGTATAGGACTAGTATAGACACCGGTTCCCTGTCTGTGACCGGTATAGACACAACTTTCCTGTCTGGGACCGGTATAGACACCGGTTCCCTGTCTGTGAGCGGTATAGACACAACTTTCCTGTCTGGGACCGGTATAGACACCGGTTCCCTGTCTGTGAGTGGTATAGACACAACTTTCCTGTCTGGGACCGGTATAGACACTGGTTCCCTGTCTGTGAGTGGTATAGACACAACTTTCCTGTCTGGGACCGGTATCGACACCGGTTTCCTGTCTGGGTCCAGTATAGACACCAGTTCCCTGTATAGGACTAGTATAGACACCGGTTCCCTGTCTGTGACCGGTATAAACACAACTTTCCTGTCTGGGACCGGTATAGACACCGGTTCCCTTTCTGGGACCCTTAGAGACACCAGTCCCCTGTCTGGGACCAATACAGATACCAGTCCCCTGTCTGGGACCAGTATAGACATCAGTTCCCTTTCTGGGACCAGTATAGACACAACTTTCCTGTCTGGGACCGGTATAGACACCGGTTCCCTGTCTGGGACCGGTATAGACACAACTTTCCTGCCTGTCTGGGACTGTTATAGACACCGGTTCCCTGTCTGGGACCGGTATAGACGTAACTTTCTTGTCTGGGACCGGTATAGACACCGGTTCCCTGTCTGGGACCCATAGAGACACTGGCCCCCTGTCTGGGACCCATAGAGACACCAATCCCCTGTCTGGGACCCATAGAGACACCATTCCCCTGTCTGGGACCAGTATAGACACCAGTTTCCTGTCTGGGACCAGTATAGACACAACTTTCCTGTCTAGGACTGATATAGACAACGGTTCCCTGTCTAGGACTGGTATAGACACCGGTTCCCTGTCAAGGACCCGTAGAGACACCCGTTTCCTTTCTAGGATCAGTATAGACACCAGTTTCCTGTCTGGGACTGGTAGACATATAAGTCTCCTGTCTGGGACCGGTAGAGACACCAGTACCCTATCTGAGGACGCTATAGACACCAATTCTCTGTCTGGGACCAGTATAGACACCGGTTTCCTGTCTGGGACTGGTAGACACATAAGTCTCCTGTCTGGGACCGGTAGAGACAACAGTACCCTGTCTGAGGACGCTATAGACACCAATTCTCTGTCTGGTACCAGTAGACACACCAGTTTCCTGTCTGGGACCGGTAGAGACATAAGTCTCCTTTCTGGGAGTGGTAGAGACACCAGTACCCTGTGTGGGACCGCTATAGACACCATTTCTCTCTCTGGGACCGGTAGAGACACCAGTTTCCTGTCTGGGACCGGTAGAGACATAAGGCTCCTGTCTGGGGCCGGTAGAGACACCAGTTTCCTGTCTGGGACCGGTAGAGACACCAGTACCCTGTCTGAGACCTGTAATTCTAGTGATTTTTGTCTCTGTGTTTAGAACTGTGTTGGGAGTGCAGAGAGAGCTTCTTGTTCCAGCAACAGCGGGATCTCAGGGAGTATACCCAAGCAACAATCTACATCCGCAAAGTCCTTGAAGATAAAGGGGTGAGAACCCAAAACGAGCATCTGTTTCCTATCAGATCCACAGATTTCCTGTAGCCAATGCCTGTAGAAATTAGAGGCCAACCCTCTGCGACATCATCCATAGGTTTCTGAAGAGTTGAATTGAAGGCCAATGTGTAGTTCCCTGCACCGCCATCTTGTCTGTGCCACACATCTGGTCACTCCCAGACAATACAGAAATGGACAAATAGAAACATTTAGAAGAATCTTCTCCAAACACAACATCCCGGTGTTCGGGGGTTATTGGTCAACGAATAATTTGTAAGCTTTTACTTACTTTTTGGATTCTTCAATAAAATTCGTAAATATGGAAATATTTACCGATTTTATTACGTAATTAGGATATCCGGAGATATCCTCGGGGCACCACCCTTTGAATTTGAAAGGGAAATGAATCCAAACCTCTTATCAATCTCGTCTAAACGTTCCGTAAATCCTAACGAGCTGCAGTTGAATTTATATATCACACAAACAAATTACCTGAGACAAAATCTTAATTGGCAATGACCTTTATTAACTAATATATTCACTTCAGCTCCTTCTAAAGTGTTAATCAATCAATGTCAACCAACTGATTTTATCAAATGAATAACAACAATGAAACAATGAAATGATACCATAAAACAATCTGACCCCAATGGATGGGTGTGTTTTAGTCTTGTGTCCTCCTAAACACTGAAAACAAGTATGTGTGTGTGTGTGTGTGTGTGGGTGGGTGGGCAACTTGCACTTTAAACTTCGAAGCACGTTCAATCACAGTAACTTAAACCAAACTTCAAAAACCGCTTCATTCAAATCAAGAAACAACACAAAAAGATCAATCATAAATGAATATCTAATAGTTTGTCAGCCTGGCCACAGCATAACACTATTTAAGATATTAAACAATGACAAACAAAACGGCTTACTCTTCAAGATGATCCAATGGCGTTTTTGGTACGGAGAAGGAAAGCCGTCTGGTAATTTGAAGCAATTGCGCGGTCTGGTTGCTTATTCTGAACTTATTAGAAGAAACGGAAGGAAGAGAAATAGGAAAAAAAACAAAAGCTTGCGTGTCGAACCCCAAGGCGTCCCATTTTGTGTTCGCGCTGCAGGTCAGATGGTTTCTCCGTTGATTCCAGCGGCTCGGCCTCCGTCTGTGCGTTCAGTCGTAGCAGCGAGCGACCTCTCCAAACATCAGCTGAAGCTGAACACAAAGAGAGCAGATCTGATGGTTTTCCGCTGCTCTTCAGCCGTCAGGCCTCGTGCCTGAGTCCGGAGCTGGAAAACGAGTGCCTCTTCACGCCAGTTGAACTGGAACAAAAGATGGAGTTAAGTTTCATTTCGCTGGGATTTATAGCTTTCAGCGGTCGGGCGGGAAGACTCTGTGCGGCTCTCGCACATGCGCAGAACTTGTGTTCCTGGGTTCGACGGTGACGTCATCTTGTTGCTTCCGGCTCAAGGAATCATGGGAAATGAAGTCTCTCTTGGCGCTGGAATTTATTATCTGCTTTTTCAGAGCGCAGATGACACAGTTTTTGGAGAAAATGCTGCGTAGCAATTTTCTCATGAGGGCATGCTGGCGCTGGAATATATTCCAGCTTTTCAGAGCAGATGACACAGTCTTTTGGAGAAAATACTGAGTAGCAATTTCTTATGAGGGCAGACCCTCAACACCGGTAAACTTTAAACCAACAACACCCTCAGACAGAAACTGGTCCATCCAAAAGACAAAACACCCAAACAGAAGCTCAGTGGTGTCGTTTATGCAGTCCAGTATAGTGAGGACTGTCCAGACCTTTACATCAGGCAAACTAAACAACAATTACACAAGAGCATGGCACAACACAGGAGAGCCACCTCTTCAGGTCAAGGCTCTGTAGTCCACCTACACCTGAAGGACAAGGGGCACACCTTTGAAGATGACAAATTACAGGGTGGGCCATTTATATGGATACATCTTAATAAAATGGGAATGGTTGGTGATGTTAACGTCCTGTTTGTGGCACATTAGTATATGTGAGGGGGCAATCTTTTCAAGATGGGTGTTGACCATGGTGGCCATTTTGAAGTTGGCCATCTTGGATCCAACTTTAGTTTTTTTCAATAGGAAGAGGGTCATGTGACACATCAAACTTATTGAGAATTTCACAAGAAAAACAATGGTGTGCTTGGTTTGAACAAAACTTTATTCTTTCATGAGTTATTTACAAGTTTCTGACCACTTATAAAATGTTCAGTGTGCTGCCCATTGTGTTGGATTGTCAATACAACCCTCTTCTCCCACTTTTCACACACTGATAGCAACACCCCAGGAGAAATGCCAGCACAGGCTTCCAGTATCCGTAGTTTCAGGTGTTGCACATCTCGTATCTTCACACCTTAGACAATTGCCTTCAAATGACCCCCAAAGATGAGTCTAAGGGGGTCAGATCGGGAGATCTTGGGGGCCATTCAACTGGCCCACGACAACCAATCCACTTTCCAGCAAACTGTTCATCTAGGAATGCTCAGACCTGACACCCATAATGTGGTGATGCACCATCTTGCTGGAAAAACTCAGGGAACGTGCCAGCTTCAGCGCATAAAGAGGGAAACACATCATCATGTAGCAATTTCAAATATCCAGTGGCCTTGAGGTTTCCATTGATGAAGAATGGCCCCACTGTCTTTGTACCCCATATATCACACCATACCATCACTTTATTTGTTCCAGCAGTCCTGGAGGGATCTATCCAATGTGGGTTTGTGTCAAACCAATAGCGGTGGTTTTGTTTTTTAACTTCACCATTCACATAAAAGTTTGCCTCATCACTGAACAAAATCTTTTCTTGTTTAGCCCATTCAGCAAATTCTGTGCGCCGATCTGGGTCATCCTTGTTGAGATGCTGCAGTAGCTGGAGTTTAGAGAAGGCTGGGATAAAATGCCAGTAGTACCCAGCGAAGCCCAAAAAGGATTTCACCTGTTTTACTGTCTGAGGTATGGGCCAATCTTCCATGGCTGCCATCTTTGCTGGATCTGTGGCCACTCCTTCCTCACTAATCACATGTCCAAGATAGGTTACCTTTCATTGGAACAAGTGGCACTTGGGCTGCAACTTCAATCCATGTTGGTGGAGCTTTTGGAACACTTCACTCTGATGGCGCACGTGGCTGTCAAAATCAGCAGAAAGCACAACCACATCATCCAAGTAAATTAGCAAAGACTCATTTACCGTGTTTCCCAGGCAGCACTGCATCAGCCTCTGGAATGTGGCAGGAGCATTGCACAAGCCAAATGACATCCGTTCAAACTCGTACAGGCCTACAGCTGTAGTAACAGCAGTCTTCTGATTGACTGGGTCCATCTCCACTTGCCAGTAACCACTTGCAAGGTCTAAAGTGGAGTACCATTTAGCAGTTTTTAACCCAGTCGGATTCTTCGATACGGGACAAGGGGTACGCATCCTTGTGGGTCAGGGCGTTCAGCCTCCTGTAGTCCACGCAGAAGCACCAGCTTCCATCCTTCTTCACTAATACAATTGGTGCAGCCCAAGGGTTGCGTTCTCCTTCACAATCCCACTGTTGATCATGTTCTTCACAAGGCACTCGAGGAGTACAGATGCTTCCCTCTTTCGCTCCCTTATCTTTTTTTCCCAAGGCTCTTTGTCCTGCCTGCCCACAGAGCGCCTCTCTGCATTTCTTCTGAAAAACTCTATTTTTACCAACCATGGATTTGATAAACTGGTCATTCAATGCGATCGATAAGATTTTTTCAACAATTAGAACGGAGCAGGGGGCTCCCACATGTCCACAGGGGACACACCCGGTGGGATATATGTTGGATTCCAGGAAGGAGTGGAAGATCATATGCCTCAGTCAGCTGTCCTTTGAGGACATCGAAGACGTGTGGATATTCGGCCTGATGATCACTGGATTTCTCCTGATTGGAGTGGGAAGATATCTGGTTTTCTGGAAATTTGGGAAGACGGGAGCGATTGGAGGGCGACCCGCACCCACGGAAAGCACCGTCCGTGTGGAGACTTCTCATACTGGGACGTTACTCGAGGTGAATCGTAAGCTAAACAATGTTCTAGCTGCGATACCGGTATTGGTGCGCAAAATGGATGTCATCTCGGAGAGAGTCACCGAACGGTATGGACAGGTTTAAAAACCTAAAATTGGCTTCACTGAGGGACTGGAAATGATCAGTTTAAAAACTGAAGGCAAAGAGGAAAATTTTCTCAGCCTGACCCAAACAAATTTTTGTTATCTGAATCTGACGCCCTGGAAGCCTTGAGCTGCAAGCAACTAAAACCCCCACGAAGGAATGCAGACAGATGCTGTGAAAACCCGCCCCCCCCCCCCGCCCCCCCCCCCCCCCCCCCCCCCCGCCTTCGGATTGGTGGACTTCAGCCTAGCTAGGTGTTTTTTTGCAGAGCAAAGCTGCCCTCCTGGTGGAGGGTAATTCTGAAGTGCCTTTTTTCCCCTCCACCTGACTCTATCCTCATGTAACCCTCTTATCTCTATTAAGGTAGCGCAACTCGGGTTGCGAATTACCACAGTCACCAATTCTTGTCATGTGTGTCTTGCCCACGTATGTCTGATCTCTTAATTGTGTGTACTGAAACTAATTTCCCTCTGGGATTAATAAAGGATTGATTGATTGATTGATGTTTTGTAACAATCAATCAATCAGTCAAACAAAGCTTATAATGCGCCTTCCGCAACCCTATTGGGAAGCCCAAGGCGCTGAACATGGTGCAAGAGAAAGTTAAATATGGTGAATAAATCGAAAATAAAAGCAATTCAAATTACAAATTGCAAAAAAGGTAAAACATTCCAGTAGAAGACAAATGGGTAAAACAAGGGATAGAGTGAACCAATGAAAACAAGAAAATAAAATCAACATACAAGAGGGCCAAATTCAAACACATTCAGGAAACGCCAAGCGGAGGAGGTGGGTTTTTTGGCGACTCTTATGGGCCATTCCCATCTTTACTGGGTCGGCCCGGGCCGGGTAG